GCCCCACACCTGAGATCTTACAGTGATCAATAAGGAAGGGTGAGCATTGTCTCTCCTCACGTCTCAGGCTCATTGTTGAAAATTCTACATTTCAGCTCATTTGTATAAATGATGCCGTCTTTCTAGTCTGACGGGGTCCTGTTTTACAGCAGTCTGTACTTACTTACCACACAGGCTAATAGTGACTAAAGATTAAAATTATATCCACTCAAATGCCAATCATCAAGTACCAAGCACACAGATCTTGTCTCATGAACTGAAACAAACCTTAAGTAAGAACTGGGCTTACAAAAATTAGGATCAGGAATAAGTCATATGCCCTAAGTGAGTCTGAGTTTCTTCAACTACAGAGGGCTGAGACTCTATCTACACCTTGTGACAGAGCCATGGGAAACTGTGAGATCAGTCATTGGCTCGGGACCAAAGAAACAGTAGTAGCTCAACAAATACAATTATTGTTGTTTTAATTACGTTTTGTTGTTGGGGGGACCATGTGTGTGCCATGGAGAGAGTATGGAGGCTAGAGGACAACTTACTGAGTCGGCTTTCTCTCTCTACCACATGGGTTCCAGTTATTGAAGTCAGGATGTCACTGCTCCCAACCCCAATCTGCTGAACCATCTCTCTGGCCCACACTTACTACTGCTATGGTCAATCTGAAGATTTTCTAAGAATTCAACAGATAGCACAGATCTAAGATCTATTACTGAAGGCCCAAACCTTAGTTGTGTGATTTAGACAAAGCAACCAGACTCAGTTTCTTCAGCCATTGATTAAGACAGTAGCTGCACTGTGGTACAATATGAACTTACAACTGAACCCCCGCCCCCCCCAAAAAGGACTTTTTTTCTATTTAAAAGCACCAAATATGGTAATATTAATACCATTATTATTGCTGGTACCATTAAAATGGCCACATTACCTTTATATTCTGGGTGGTATTTTCCTCTATATACTTCTGGTCTGATGCATCCAGCTGTAATCTGCTTGTGTTGGGGAGCTGGGGCAGGGCGACAAGATCAAACTATGCTGTTCATATGGTCATCTCCAGACTAAGATTTTAGCCATTCTAGATACGGTATGGCCAGTGCTGCTGTGTGACTTAGCTATTTCTCCTCCTCTAAACATCAGAAGAGAAAGTCCACAGCTGAGCAGCTAAGCTCCACCCTTCAATTCCCTGCTGCCCTTGTTACTGTCTCGGGCCTTTTCTCCATGTACCTTGTCTCCAGCAGTCTTTGTTTGGTGAGGATTGGTACAATAAGCCATCCTAGCCGTGACACATGTTCCCTGACTCCAGCAGGTACCTGAAGCTGCAGCCGGTACCAGACCCGTTATAGACTACGGTTCTTATGTATATGTACCTATGATGAAGCTGGATTTGTAGATTAGCACAGAAAGACGTCAGCAGTGATAGTAAAATGGAGTAATTGCTACATGTACTATGACAAAGATTATGTGAACGTCCTCTCTCTATCTCGATACTGTACTGTAGTCACCCTTCTTGTGATAATCTGAGATGATACAACGCTTACATAATGAGGTGATGTGAGGATAAAGCTGTGACCACACGTTAGGCTACTACGAAAGGGTTCCTGGAACTCAAACCAAGCAACACATGACAGTTGATGTGATAGCCAAGTCACTACAGGGAGGGAGCATGTAGAGTGTGACATGCTGGAAAGGGCATAGTTCATATCCAGTGCTGGACAGAGTAGGATAAAAAGAACTACTATAGTTCAACTACCTTTGAAACTGCTATATTACCTCCCACTCCTTCTCTTCACAAATTATTGCTTAATTCTAACCTCTGACATCTTTTTTCTTAACTACCTGTCTGAACTTAGCAAAATGATTGCCTCGCAAAATGATGGAGAATCCTAAGTTTCTCTGTCTGTCGAATAAGATAACTTCATAATGGTAATTATGGCAATTATAACAGCAATTACAGTAACTAACACCGAAAACATACAGTGTCCCAAGCATTGCACGAAGGACTTTGCAAACACTTCATTTCATCCTCTCGATGGGGCTTCGGTCAATCGCTTTCATCTAGAGACAAGGGAGTCACAGCACAGAAGGAAACAACTTGCCTAGGAAGACTTTTGCCCAAGTTTGTGGTTAACTGAGGCAGGATCCTGACCAAAGGCCACAGTACCTCAATATCTATAAAACCTCTGGTCTTTGTCCCTAAAACCAATGTTTTGAGTTTGACTTTGGAATGTCAAGGGCTTCATAGACGAGTCTATTGCCAATCCTGAGACACTGACATGTAGGTTGTCTATATAATTAAGCTCTCCCTCTTTATGAACCACACCCATTTGTAACATGTATTATTACCACTTAGAGTAATAAAATAACTCCTATTCATAAATATTCAGCCTCCCAAGGTCATCCTGAGGATACAGACATTTGCTTGCTGTTAGCATGGACAGCTTAACCATCTGGTACAACAGGTGGTCAACATCCCACAAAACTTTCAGAGTACACAGAAAATGTTTTCAAATAAGAAGAAAGCAGTGAATTTTCATGAGAAAGGAAATATTGTGACAGATAATGATGCCATTTGTTTGTTAAATAACCCAAAGGTGCAGATATTAATATATTTACTTTCATGGGAACAGGGCCATCATGGCAAACCCATCCAGGGCCCCTGAAAGTCCAAATGTGTCTGTCCCACCTGTTGGCAATGCATGGCTCATAGGCCCTCTCTGTGCTCAGGTGATGTCTCCACTATCACACTGCTTCAGCTTTGCAACCTAGGGCTGCATCCTGTGAGTTCCAAGTGCACCAAGGAAGCCAGAAGGTCACTAAAGCTTTATCATGTAGATAGTGCAGACAGACAGACAGGCAGACAGACAGACAGACAAGGCCCCGGTGTGAGAGAGGTCATTTCCTCCTCAGTCTCAGTGTGATGAGGCAACATGGGCATCCTGTGACATCTCTATCACTCATCAGATGAAGGCTTTCTGGCTACAAACTATCTAGCCATGAGAACACGGCCCTCAGCAAAAGGATATTACCGAGAGGAGATACCAAGTGGCAAGAAGCTGCGTCTTAGCCTCAGAACAGTGAGTGACCTGAAATCTGAGTTTCTAGGAAACATAACTGTCCCAGGGAGCAATGACAGCTCTAGGTAGCCTGGAGTCAAGCTACAGGCAAAGAATCCCCCTAAAATGAGCCTGATTTGTGTCCATTCCCTTCCCCAAGTCCACGATCTGAGCTCTTTTCAGTACGTTCAGAACCGCAATGTCAATACGAAATACTAGAAAGCTGGGGGCAGAGGGCAGGTGCCCTTTGACCCCAGCGGCCTCAGTGGGGACTTGAGCTTTTGACCTGTTTGAACTTGAATCACCTGTATCTCCAAGTCCATCCTGTGGGTAATGAATACAATATCCTTTCAGCCTCTTGGTTCACAGGAGAAAGGAAACAGTCCACTGCTTTTCTAACCTCACTTTCCTAGTGTAAGAATGAACATTGAAAACGGAGGCTGGAAGCACAGGCCTCGCGGTGGAAGAGCATCCCGGGACTCGGGCTACAGGGACAGGCACAGACACACTTCGGCAAACAGAGGTGGGGCCACTCGGCCAGTTCTCATCCCAAACCTAGTGTAGCCCTGTCCTTGAACCCAGTGAAAGAAAACCTTCTCAGCCAGACCCTGTGCTGCCAAAGGGAGTGAGGGGCACGTTAGACCTTCAGGGGCACTGAGTGGTGGTGCTTGCATGGCCCCATCCTTCACAATACTCTATGAATAATCTATTCATGGCTATGCTGGGATACATAATATAATACAGATAATAACTGTCCTATTATCTACCACATGTTCTTCCACCTGAAAGTTCATGTCTTTTTCTTTTTGATTGCAAAAAAAATGAATCCTTTTCATGGGGACCCTAAATGTTTTGTACCATGTAGGTAGTATCCCTGCTGTCCAGGGTAGATATGGTGGCCGTGATACCAGAAAACAAGAGAAGTGGGAAAACGTGTGACAGCAGTCACTTTCTCGACTGCAAGAGAGATTTCCTTGTGCCCACAAGGCTAAAAGGGCAACAACAACAAAATTATTATTTTTTTTTTAATATTCTGTTCTGTTCATCCACTAATTTGGTCAAAAATAGCTCTGGGGTTTGTTCGGCACAATTTGACCTTCATAATCACACAGATGATTATGGGGTCCCATTAGAACTTTCAAAGCACTTTGTACAAAAGGGGCCCTCAGACAGTCTACTATAATAAAAACAAGCTCATAAAAGTCCCACACATTTCGCATAGGCCTTTGATAACCCATCGCACAATAATGACCTTGAGTAACTCACAGCCTGTACCACATTTTAACCAGTCGTTTAGAGGAAAAGAGTTGTTTTTTTTTTTTTTTTTTTAATCTTATTATCTCTGTCTAGTCACCCAGAGCCTTACAAGGAAAAATAAATCTGCTTATGAAAAGATCTGTGAATCATCAGAAATGACCCCTTTCTTTGCTGGCGTCTTCTTCTAGGCAGGTATGTCAAGAAACATGATGGTAACCTGGTCTCCTACGCCTGACCTCAACCAATCTGTCTGGAATCCTTCATCCCTTCTTCTCTCTGGCCTCAGTCTCTCTTCAGTAAGGCCAGTGGCTTAGCCTCAAGTCAACAGAGATAGCCTAAAATCTATACATGTGTTCTAGGGCCTCTTGAGGAGCCAAAAAGGGAGGCATACCCATCTGCCCTCAAGCAGAGCAGACCCCTCAGGTGTTCAGAAGCAACAGTCTTGATGATCTTTCAAAGTTGGGGGAAAGGCCATCATGTGAGATGGTTTCTCAAAATAATATTCATTTGAGCATGTTACATATCTATAGCTGCCGTTAGCCTGCCTTGGTGAGTTTCTTTCAGACTGGCCAGTCACTAGGGATATGAAGGGATCTTTCCTAACCTACAGCAATCCACGAGTTAATAGGGATTATGTTACCCTAGTTCATAGACAAGAACATTGTGACAAAGCCAGATAGAAACAGGAAATCTTACCATGGAAACAGGAGGGGAGTAGTAGTGGAGAGATCAGAGTAGACTGTGTGCCTAGTAGGAATTTGAAGAGCAGGATGAATGGAAAACTCAGCCTTGATGGGCACTCAAGAATCCCAGATGAGGGCACTGGGGGTCCTCATTGACCATCCTTTGCATGTCCATTATGATCCATAGAGGACTAAGAATGTCCCCATCTGCCATCTGCAAGACAGATGCTTGGAGAGGCTGAATGGTGACCCAGGATCATGCCAGTCACTGAGACCAGAGTCAAGGAAGGAGAGGTGCCAAAGGAGGAAACGAAACAGAAGATCAAATTTTCTGACACCATTTCCTATTTTGGTCCCGTCACATGAACACTGATCCATTTCTACAGCAGCCTGGCGCTGTGAAGACAGCAAAGAGCAGGTCAATAACCTACCAGGAGTTGGTAGCCGCAAAAGCGTGTGTGTAGACATAGTGGAGCTGTTCACCCAGACCCAAAGTAGGAACGCTTCTCCACTTTGTGATAGCTAGATACGTCCTTGCTTTGGCTGTGACCTCCAATCTGAAGCTGAAGCGATGTGAGCTACTTCCAGGTGGGAGCTGTTGATTTACCAGAGAGTCTACCACTGTGTCCCTAGACCATGACAACTGGCAGTGTGATCCACAGAAGTTGCTTCAGCCTGGCTTCCTGGGACCCAGACAAACTGATAAGAGATATGTCACTTACAGAAGAAATGATTTTGCTTCTGTCTCTGGGAGCCTTGGGGGTGCTTGTTACCTCAGCATCACGTGACTCATCCTGAATAATGTAGTGACCATGCACGAAAGGAGGAGGATTAAGAAGCCAGTCTTGGGTCTGTCATCATCCACATTGATTCAGCAACTCCTCTAAAGAGAGTTTTTTTTTTTTCCTCCATTTTGAAACCCAGTAAAATGCATTTTGCTTGCCTACTATACCGTGACCAGCAGGCTTCCATTACCTGATTTAAGAGTATAAATGCAAATGAACTCCATTGATAGGACTTATTGTTAATCAAAACTCCCCTCAAAGTCATGCAGTATAAGATTATCAGCCTTGTAGACCCTCCTGGCACGTTTATTTTGAAGTCAATGTCTTAAACAATGATGACAAACCCAGGCAGAAGTGGAAAGGCAGGAGGAACTCACGGAGCTAGAAAAAACAGCTTTAAAGTTGCTTCCTCTGTCTCTCTCTGTCTCTCTCTGTCTCTGTCTCTCTGTCTCTCTGTCTCTCTGTCTCTCTGTCTCTCTCTCTCTCTCTCTCTCTCTCTCTCTGTCTGTCTCTCTCTCTCTCTCTCTCTCTCTCTCTCTCTCTCTCTCTCTCTCTCTCTCTCTGAGAACCATTGTCAATTTCTTTGACTTTCTAGGACCACACTATATTTTCAATTAACTCTCAATTTTGACCTTTTATCTTTGTGATTATTTAAAATACCATTGCATTTTAAATTGTAGTTCTTTGCTCTATATCCTAGTCTCCTCTGAATTCACGAAGCTAGGTTAAAAGCTACCGAGACAGACACACTACTGTGTACAGGGTATGGGCAGCTCCCTGTGCTTTGCCCAGACCTCTCAGAGTCTCAGAACCATCACGTGAGGTTAGCATTCCTGCTCAAGCTCTAACAGAGGAGGAAAGAGAGGCAGATTAGGGATTAGACACTCACTCAAACCTCACAGCCAGAAGCCTCTTGTCCCACACCCCAAACCTCAGGGAGAGCTTGCTGCTGAGGAACATATCCCTACTAAGTGGCTATAGCCTCTGAGGCCTCAGCCCCACATTTGTGTCCCTTGTAGCAGACAAGCAGGAAGAGGGCAGCTGTACAGGGCACCTGGGGACACAGACAGACAGACAGGACATAGAGGCCACCCACCCCTGAGAACAGACTGTGAGGTTGGAGGCGGCCAGCCAGAGCCCATTGTCCCCAGGCACTTTCTGTAGAGAAAGTTCCTAAAATAGCACTTGACCACACTGGGAAATGCAGGTATCCAGCGAGCCTGCATGCTGAGATTCTGGATACCACAGTAGCTCAAGCTTGGGAAAATGCAGCCAGGTCTGTCTGGGCCTGACTCTGTCAGTTGCTAGCTCTGTGAAGGCTGCTAAGCAGAACCTGGGCAGCAAACAGCAACTATGTCCCCAAACCAGGCTCCATTCTCCATGTTCCTGCTGTCTCACTCACTCAGCCCAAAGACAATTAGCCCTGCTGGCATCCTACATTTCAGAGCAGACAAGTGAGTTTTCCTAGATGACACAGTCGGGAAGTGAAAGAGCCAGAATTTAGCCGGGCAATTCCCTTTCCTTGTGCCTCAGTTTACTCCTCTATACAAATAAGAAAGTTGGCCCTGATGATCCCAAAACTCAATCCCAGATTTCCTGTCGGGCTTCCTCAGCCTGTTGCCATGTCCTTATTTGCACATTCACAGATACAGAGGCAAAGTGAGGTCTCCAGCCTTCACTCACTTCAGTCTGTGGGGTTCTGGCCTCGAACTCCCCTTTGTCCAGTGCTGCTCCAGCTGGCCAGAACGGAACAGACTCTGGTCCACACAGCCACCCTGTTTCCGCAGCTCCTTATTAGAGAGTGTGCGGCAACTCTTCTAGGAGATTAGCTTAAATGACAGAGACAATAATGAGAAAAAGACTGATGTCCATTCGCACCCCACCACCCTTTCCGCAATAAAATAAAGCAACTCTCCTCATCCTGGTAGGTGGATTTAAGACTCATGCATAGGCACTGTGGGATTAAGATCAATGTCATCTCTGTCATCTCTCCACAGCACTAAAAGAGGTGACCACGGCCTTGGGTGGGGGGAGGGGGGAGGAGGGCAAACCCCTCCCCTGGTCCAAAGTCTCAACGCATTTACAATTTTAAATGAAACAGGCTAACTGAACAACACTCTCAAATCAATTAGCTTTCTCTAGTAGCTCAGGGTTCCCTGGTCCTAGGCCTATAACCTCAAAACTCCCCATCTTCAGGATGTAACAGAATTTGATAGGAGCTTGCTAAAAATGTTGAGTCCTGGGCCTACCTGTGAAAATGGTTTCATGGTGAAGTGTGATCATCTTAGCCTGTCTCCCCACCAATCAGCCATTCATAGTTGGTGGACCATACTATTGAGAAACGAAGCCTGGCCCGTGTACTAGGCCCATCACTCACATTTTCCTCAAGAGAGATATGGACTGTGGCCGCCACTCTTTTGTCCAGGCACGGTCTCATCAAACGAGATGACGATACATTTGAGGCCTGTTTTATTTGGGGTAGAGGTATGATTGGGGTTGTTAATTCAGACTTTAAAACTTTTAAACTGTGGTGCATAATGGCTGTGACCTTCACGACAATTCAGTCACTCAATAGCACCTCATCCTGCTCTACTCAAAAAGTTCTGTTTTAAACACACCTTAGGGGGGTTTCATAGTACTTACGGTCCCCAATTGGGGCACTTGTGACATTACCAGTAGCAGATATTAATGATTTTACTGATACACAAAGAATAAACCAATTAGACTAAAGTATCTGGGAGGCAGGAAGTGTGCCCCTCCCTCCATCTGCCTCCCCAGATCTTGGTCCGGGCGGTGGTCAGAGTTGACTACTTACAGTCCTTCTGGGATTCACACTGAGGGCTCTACTGCATGGTAGAGAGGTATGGGACCCCTGCAGAAACTCTGTTTATGAACTAAGTCTGGCCCTGAGGAAGCCACTCAACCTCTCTTGTACAGTTAGGCCAAGGATATTTATTTACCTAGTGGTCCTAAGAAAATGGAATGAGATAGCAGGTGTAAATCAGCCAACCAGGACTTGTCCAGAGTCGATAATCCCCCCCCTCCCTTCTCTACTGAACAGAAAGCCATGAACCAGAAGAGAGCCTCACCACTGGTTGTGATGGTTGCTGCGGATGTATGCACCAATTGTCTGGGTTCAGCTGCCTAAACCACCATTTCATTACGCTCGACTGTTCTGTGCCAAGATTTTGGAAAGGTTGCAGTGGTGTTGACCTGCTCTGCTCAGTGACACCTAAAATGGCTGTAGAAAGGATGGACAACCTAGGGAGACTCAGGTCAGGAGCATCTTTCATTCACATTTCCAGGTGGTATTGCTGCCCTTCACCCCAGCTGGGATCCTGATATCCCCACATGGTGACTGAGCCTCCAAAGGTGAGGGTCCCAATGGTTCTGGGAGGAGGCTTCTTGACGTTTCATGACCTAGCTTTTAAAGTCACCAACACAACGTCCATCCTGGTCACAAGGCAGCCAGCCCAAGGAGGAGAATGTCGGTCTCAGCACTTAGTAAAACAAGATCAAGGACACAGTGTAATGAAAGTGTGGGGGTAAAGTAATCATAGAGATGATGGAAATGAAAGGAGGAAGAAAGGGGAGGGAAGGGAGGGAGGGAGGGAGGGAAGGAGGGAGGGAGGGAGGGAGGGAGGGTGGGAGGGAGGAAGGGAGGGTGGGCGGCCAGTGGGCAGGCCACCACCCAGAACATAGCAAGACTTCATGGTGCTGTTAATCTCTGGATCTCATGAAGAGCCGTGGATGAGAGAAAGCATGCTCCTGTCTTCAGACACACATTCTGTGGTGCAGTGCTTGTTTGGGCTGGGTGTTTTTGTTTGTTTGTTTGTTTGTTTGTTTGTTTCCGAAGGAAAGTTCTTCTACCCACACCTACCAAAAAGTAAAAATAAAGAAATCCTACATACTCTTTCAGGCCCAGTTTCTAGGTCACCTTCTCTGGAACATCTTTCCTGGTGGTCCTTAAGGTCGCCTCTCCTTCAGAACCCTAGAGTTTTATCTGTACCCCTCTTTTACACAAACCACTCCCCGCCTCTGCCAAATGCTGCCGTAGTCGGAGACTCCCCTCACTCCTCCGCCTCATTCCTTCCTCTCTCCCAAGCCCCACCCTGAAGTCTGCCTAAGAAGAAAACACGATGAAAGGGTTTCCCCAGTCCTGGAAGTACCTGGATTCTTGCCCATGCAGAGAGTGTGAGTGTTGAGAGGTGGTAAAGAAACCAAGTCCTGATGGGAAGTGGAGATGAGCCAGGTGCGGCTGCCACTAGTCAATCGGTCTCCCTCATCTGCCCTTCAATACCTCCTTTCCTATATTTTACAATATGATTGTACACACACACACACACACACACACACACACACACACACACACACACACCACCCTGATACACACATATACATACATACACATGCATCCCCTCACACACACAAACATAAACACCCATAATGGATGCATGATTTCAGATACTCTTAAATAATTGTTTATATTTGTATAGATATACCCTTTCACAAGGAAAATCTTTCAATTTGCCTCCTTCTCCAAGAGCATGTTCTATACCTTACTCAGTATGTCTCTTTGGAATTCTTTCACTGGAGACCACAAAGACTATGGAGACGAGAAAAGGCAGAGTAAGATGTCACCAGCACCCAGGGTTTTTCAGACACTAGTATCCTGAAAACAACAGGATTAAAGTAGTTTCCCCATGTGTTTCCTGGGCTATTTTGACAATTGCTCTCTGTTGTTTATGCTACAGCTGATTTTATTTCACCTTTTAAAAAATTTATTAGCCGGGCGGTGGTGGCGCACGCCTTTAATCCCAGCACTCGGGAGGCAGAGCCAGGCGGATCTCTGTGAGTTCGAGGCCAGCCTGGGCTACCAAGTGAGTTCTAGGAGAGGCGCAAAGCTACACAGAGAAACCCTGTCTCGAAAAACCAAAAAAAAAAAAAAAAATTTATTTATTTTATATGTGTGAGTGTTTTGCCTGCTCTATGTGCATTCCTGGTGCTCTCACAAGCCGTAAAAGGGTCAGATCTCCTGGACCTGGAGTTACAGATGGTTGTGAGCCACCAGGTGGGTGTTAAAAACCAAACCTGGGTCCTCTGCAAGAGCAATAAATACTCTCAACCACAGAGCCGTCTCTCCAGGGCCATGCTGTTTTTCTTGAGACAGGCTCTCTGTGTAATTTAGGTTAAACATTAGTACTGGATGCTCCTGCTTCAGCCTCCCAATGACAGACGTGTACCAAGGGCTCAGCTCTGCCATTTCCTTTTAAGTAAGCTCTCAAACGATCGGCATACTGTCAGCCTTCCACAATATCAGATGTTGATACTATTTCTCTGGCCAATGGGGCCTCTTGGTTCAGGACAGCAAAAGTCTCTGTTTCGAGTTCTCCCCCGGAGACATTATCAACGGATTCTTCCCCAAGTCTCTTTCCCCAGGAAGGCCAGACTCCTCAGGTGATCTGGGTTCCCACAAGCCTCAGAGAACGGTGGGGCATGAGGAGCATGTAACCTGGACCCTGGATAGCATGAGAGTGAGTTTGCCACAGTGTGGGATGGCAGCCAATGGCTGTCCGATGACACTGTGAGACAGTTTGTATGTTTGTATGGGTAGACTTGCTCAGTCCTGGGTGCAGGCTTTGTCCTGTCCTCTTAGCCCCCCTTGGTCTCTCCTATCCCGGGGACCTTGGCAAGTAAAGCTGGTGCTGGGGAATGTGAGGTGCGACCACTCAGTAGCACTTTGCAGAGTTTTCTTCTGAAGGCACACATCTATACCTTCTTGCTTTTTTATTTGAGAACATCAAAGCTGAGCCCTGTAATTCCTGTGTCTTAACTCCAGAGTTGCCCTTCAGCCACTGTCTGGACTCATCCCCTGAGGGCACCCTCTTGACTTGTCACTAACTCTGTGGGAAAAGCTGCTTCTTACAGATGCCTCTGCAATGTCAGCTATCCCGGCCACAGTCTGATCCCTAGAGCATTCTGGGTCTCCCCTCAGGGGGGGAGACCTATCTGGTAGGTTGTCCTGTGGAGCTCCACCCATCCTCTAGGTCTCCACTAACAACCTTGACTTGAACTTCAGAAAGACCTAGAATCCTAAATCCCAATCCTTCTACACAGACCTGTGGCCCAGGCTCATTCTAAATGTGTATCTTGATTATGGAAACCAAGCAGAGCATCTCCCTCAAACTTACATGATAATTATTTTTACTTAACTTACTTTTCTTTGTATGGTTATCCCCTCAAAATAGCCAACCCATGCTTAAGTCTGTCAATACACTTAAAAACTTTTAATTATATTTATGTGTGCGCGCATGTGTATGTAATTGTGCACGCCACTAAGTATGTATGGAAGTTGGAAGACAACTTTCAGGAGTCAGTTCTCTCCTTCTATCATGTGGGTCCTGGGGATCAAACTCAGGTCATCAGATTTGGCGGCAAGTGCCCTCACCTGCTGAGCCATCTCGTCTCTCCAGCCCTGTCAGTTCATCTTCTAAAGAGACAGTAAAACTGTCGAGAGAACGGGAAGGAAAGAAGGAGGGAGGGAGGGATGGAGGAAGAGAGCTAATCTGAAACACCTAACCTTAAATTGGAAGTTTCAAAAAAAAAAAAAAATGATTAAGAGCAAGTCACCTTCATGAGAATTCTAATCACAAAGCAACCCCACTGCCGGGAAGGTA